TCGCGACATTGTGAGAATCCGGTTTAATCACACAAACTCGTCAATAGCTCTGCCCTGAAACGAACACAGATGCTGCATACAATAGGCGACGTTTCGGGCGTCGGCCCTTTTTCGTGGACGAAGAGAGGATCTATCTGCTCTCTCGGGGCAGTGGTATTGACATCGCACGCTTTCAAATGCGCTTCTGCGGCTCTTCCTTCCGATATTAGTGAAGCCATAAACCTGGACTACGAACCCAGGCTCTCAGAGATGCCGCCTCAGCGACTCGCAGGCCCGTCCAGGTGAGACGTGGCTCAGGTGTGACGCTACTCCACATCCTGCCCACCCCACGGTCGTGAGTTCCTCCACAGAGCCGCCCTTGTGCGATCCGCTCAACCGTTCCACTGTGAAGTGCAAATTCAATAAACAACCGTTTTTATTTATTAATTACCCTGCATTCAGCAGAGCGCGAGCTCGACTCCCAGCGACCACGTGGGCGGGCACCGGCCACACCACCAGCCCCGCGCCGGCAAAACACCCGCAGCCGGGGTCATCCAAGGCGCCCTCCCTGCGCGATGCTGCAGGGCGCTCGCTGCTCCACGCAGAAGGTCTCCTCTGGCCAATCATTCAGGGCGCTGGTCCAATTCCACTCCGGTCCTCCCTACTTCATCTCGCAAAACCTGCAGGGCGCTGTTATATTAGGTTATTTACCCAATCCTACAGGGCACCCCTATACCTTGACGCTCTGTATCCAACCCTGCAGGGCGCTGGTCCACTCTGGACCATGTTACCCAATCCTGCGGGGCGCTCCTCCCCGAGACCATCTCTACCCAATAATGAAGGGCGCTGCACTTCCCCGACCCTCTCCACCAAATAAGGTCCTCTCTGCAGCTCTACTAAACCCTGCAGGGCACTCCCACGCCCTGACCCCAGGCAGCTGGCCTGCCAGGTTCGATTCCTCCCGAGGTATCCGAGCGAGACGCATCCCTCTGGGAACGCGGCTGTGGTTGGGGATGATTAACGGCGACTCTCATTAAAGCCATCGCTCTGGGAGACCAATCAGTGGCAGAGGGTGGGGGTAACTGCTTTAAAACAAAAATCACGGTTGCTGAGCGCAAGCCCAGAGGCCCAGAACGCCACCCGGTCAGCGACAAAGAGCACTATTGAAGGTGTACTCAATCAGAGTCAATGTTTTTGGAATTGATCACGATTTAAATCATTTGAAGAAGCAATGAGAGGGAATTCCAGTTGACCACTGCGAGGGAGTCATCAACACGGGAGGATTAATCAATGAGTGACGTTCATGGGAACAGTAAGAATGGCAGTAGCGATAGAAGAGTGATAGGGATGCGACTGCCCGCCGATGAGCGAGTGACTGGAGCGAAGCGGTGCGTGCTGGGCTATGATGGAGAGGGGGGAAATACGGGGAGGAGGCGCCCCTTCTGGAACCCGCGTTCTTGACGCTGTGCAGCGCTCAGATGAGACGGGTCGCAGCGAGGAGAGATAAAGAGCACATGGAGGCGGGGTGGGGGTGTTAACCTCGGGGACATCACCCTTTGGCGTAGATGTCGAATGTGCAGGCGGTGCAGCTTCACGGGGCCCTCGGGCCGGATGGATGCCCAGGCGCCGGGCTCCACAGGAGGGGTAATGAGAAGGGGCTGGGGGCATTTCAAGACTTGCCCCGGGGCCCGTGGCAGCCACGCTAGGGCACTGGTCCCATCACTCGGAGACCCATCACTGCAGTGTCCTCCGCGGGGCTCAGAACCCCCGCCCCTCCATCTGTAGTTCCTCATAGACGGATTTAAGGGTCCACTTATTGTATTACCATCGCCTGGCCACTTGAAACCACAGCGAGGTTTTGGAGTTTGACAAAAATCTTGGCGTGATGCAACAACCCTTGCTCTTCCACGGCGCCAGGGCTGCAGCTTTAAACGCCCCGAGCCGGGTGATGGGGAGTGGAGAATCTGGGGGGGCCCAGAGGGGCAGCGCCCGGCCCCTGACCCCGGGATCAGATTCCCATTTGAAACGCGGCGCGGTGACCCCGGCCTGAGACGGGGTGACCTCGTCAGTTACTGACGACGAGGAGGAGGGAGGGAGGGAGGAAGGGATCATTGCCGCCGGGGTTGCAGGCGGAGTACTGTGGTGGGTGATATGTGGTGGAGTGTTGAGTGTCGGGAGCGGTAGTTGAGCGGTTGGCGCGCTGCGCTACAAACCCGGCCACCCAAGTTTGAATCCCGCTCACGGCCAACACCAGTGACGATTATTTGAACCGGTCATGTGCCTCGGCTAGGTCGACTCAGCCTCAAATGAATACCTGGTGCGGTGTGTAAACATCGTCACTGGGGAGACATAGGCAGCCTGGCGTGGTGCTGGTCACTCACCCACCCCCTTGTGCGCCGTCCCGATCGTCATAGGTGCTCGCTAACACCACTTGCCCCAAAAGTGTGTTTAGGCTATAGGGTCATCTTTGTGTGGACGCGTAGGCGGGTGGGTGTTGTTGTTGTGACCTGCAGTGTTGGTGGTGGTTGAACGCAATGCGGTCGATGAGACAAAACAGTCAGTGTCTGGTAGACCGAATCATCAACATGGAAGGAATCGTCGATTGAAGCTCACGGTAACAGTAGTCTATGTGTCTGCAAAGAGAATATTCATCTTTACGTACGGTACGAAAGAAGTTCAACATACATACATATTGGGGGCATGGGCGCCCAGACCACGATCAACACCATGGGACCGTGGTCTCCGGTTCGGTAGGGGGCGCCGGTTTCACCCGAACCTCACCGTGCTCCGGAATCACCTCGACCACCCACGACCTCCACCAGCACACCCACCAACCACCACCAACCAGCACTTACAACCAATACCAATACCACGCCATTCGCCACCAAGTGGCGGTGACGTCACCACGGCGCTTGTGCCAGGCCAGGTGCACTTTGAGGCCACGTGAAGTGTCGAAGGCTCCCTGACAGAAGGTCTCGGGACAGACCCAAGTGCACTTCCACCCACCACCTCCACCAGCACTTCCACTCACCACTCCCACCCATTACCTCCTCCACTAGCACTTCACCCACCACCTCTTCCACCAGCACTTCCACCCACAACCACCAGCACTTCCACCCACCAGCACTTCCACCCACCACCTCCTCCACCAGCACTTCCACCCACCAGCACTTCCACCCACAACCACCAGCACTCCCACCCACCTCCCCCACCAGCAATTCCAACAACCACCAGCAGTACTTCCACACAAAGACAACGATCCCCCATATAGCCTTAACAGACTGTAGGGGCAAGTGCTGTTAGCGAGCACCTATGAAGCCCAGAACGGTACACGAGGTGGGTGGCCAGCACCACGCCCGACCGCATTTGTCTCCCCAGTGGTGATGTTTACACACCGAACCAGGTACTAATTTTAGGCTGAGTCGACCTAGGGGAGGCCTGGGACCGGTTCAGATAATCGTCACTTGTATTGGCCGTGAGCGGGAATCGAACCCGAGTCGCCGGGTTCATAGCGCGGCGCGCGAACCGCTACACTACCGCTCCCCACCCACGACCTCCCCCACCACCACTTCCACCCACCACCACCAGCAATTCCAACCACCACCAGCAGCACTTCCACCCACCACCACCTCCACCAGCACTTCCACCCACCACCACTTCCACACACCACCTCCTCCACCAGCACTTCCACACACCACCACTTCCATACACCACCTCCTCCATCAGCACTTCTACCCACCAGCACTTCCACACACCACCTCCTCCACCACCATTCCCACCCACCAGCACTTCCACACACCACCTCCTTCACCACCACTCCCACCCACCACCACTTCCACACACCACCTCCTCCACCAGCACTTCCACACACCACCACTTCCATACACCACCTCCTCCATCAGCACTTCTACCCACCAGCACTTCCACACACCACCTCCTCCACCACCATTCCCACCCACCAGCACTTCCACACACCACCTCCTTCACCACCACTCCCACCCACCACCACTTCCACACACCACCTCCTCCACCAGCACTTCTACACACCACCACTTCCATACACCACCTCCTCCATCAGCACTTCTACCCACCAGCACTTCCACACACCACCTCCTCCACCACCATTCCCACCCACCAGCACTTCCACCCACCACCACCTCCACCAGCACTTCCACCCACCACCACTTCCACACACCACCTCCTCCACCAGCACTTCCACACACCACCTCCTCCACCACCACCTCCACCACCACCTCCACACACCACCACTCCCACCCACCACCACTCCCACCCACCACCACCTCCACACAACACCTCATCCACCACCACTTCCACACAAAGATAAAGATCCCCCATATAGCCTTAACAGACTGTAGGGGCAAGTGCTGTTAGCGAGCACCTATGAAGGCCAGAACGGTACACGAGGGGATGGGTGGCCAACACCACGCCCGACCGCCTTTGTCTCCCTAGTGGCAATGTTTACACACCGCACCAGGTACTCATTTGAGGCTGAGTCGACCTAGGGGAGGCCCAGGACCGGTTCAGATAATCGTCACTGGTGTTGGCCGTGAGCGGGAATCGAACCCGGGTCGCCAGGTTCATAGCGCAGCGCGCTAACCACTTCCACACACACAACACCACCTCCACCACCACCTGCACCACCACCTCCACCACCACCTCCACCACCACCACCCACCACCACCACCACTTCCACACACCACCACTTCCACACACCACCTCCTCCACCACCACTCCCACCCACCACCACTTCCACACACCACCACTTCCACACACCACCACCTCCTCCACCACCACTCCCACCCACCACCACTTCCACACACCACCTCTTCCACCAGCACTCCCACCCACCAGCACTTCCACACACCATCGCACCTACCACTCCCACCCACCACCTCCTCCACCGCCACTCCCACCCACCACCACTCCCACCCACCACCACTCCCACCCACCACCACTCCCACCCACCACCACTCCCACCCACCACCACTCCCACCCACCACCACTCCCACCCACCACCACTTCCAGCAGATGGCTCCCCTACTGGTAGATTCTACCGCCGGTTCGTTCGGCCCCGCTCAGCCTCTGCCGCCACCGGCGGCGGTAGAGACCCAGATGGCGGTGATGGCCGTGCGAGGCGCTGGGCGGTTGTTGGAACGCGCGGTCTGGGGCCTGCACTCACGGCCAGGCGGGTGAGGCCCCACATCACCAACAACAACAACATCATCATCACCAACATCGCCAACACCGTCACCAACATCAGCATCATTCGCTTACATAACCAACAGCATCACCGATGTAAACCCGGTCGCCAGCATCAGCAATTGCCATGCAGACCGTCAACAACATCATCATCCTCACCAACGTAATCATCACCAATATAAAACAACATCGTGATCGTCGACAACGATCATCATCCTCACCAACGTAATCATCATCAATATAAAACATCCTCTTGATCGCCAACAACGATCATCACCTTCGCCATGTGAGCGCGACCCCCGTTGCCTCCTTGTATCGCGACTGACGTGGGCCCCGCGTGATTCCTACACCACCACAAACTGTGCCGTCGTTTACAGCCGCGGAGGCCGTTCGACCATACTTCACCACCCTGGTCAGTGCGTTTTGAAGGTTTTGAGGCGGCGGTTCAACCCCTCCGGAGACTCCGACATTCGTGTCGGGCCCGAATTGTAAACAAATAAATAAAAAAGCTCGACAGTCACGAGACCGGCTTCCCTTACTTGGGAAGTTTGCGTAGATTTGCCCTTGGATATCACTCGCCACGAGACGTTAAGCCGTGGCCGAGAATCGTCCGCCGGATTCGCAATGCAGTGCCCTAACCGCTGCGCCACCGCTCTCCTCCACGCGTTGGGTAACGAGAAGTCTCTCTCGACCGTGGGACTCGTTTAGCAATCATCGGGCGCGTGCAGCGACTTGCACGGCGTCTCTCGCCTAACCTGCATCTGTCAAAATCCGCTGCTGGATGAGCGCCTTGCCCGCGCCTTCGAGGGGTTGCTTGGTCATACCTCGCCACGCTGGTCAGTGCGGATTGGTGAAGACGCGGAGCGTAGAAGGTACGGTACAATGGATTTTGTTTTGCTTAAATTTAGCCGAGCTGCCCACAACGTTTAGCAACGGGCCGCAACTTCTCATGCCCGCCGACTCTCACGATCACCGTTTGTTAATGCTCCACTTGGCACCCTCACGTGAACCGATGTCAATTGTAGGAATAGGTTTTACCCTTTTAACTGGCACAAGGTGTCAGTTTTTGTGCCAGTTAAAAGGGTAAAACCTATTCCTATATCTTGTTTCTGGCAAAGGTCTCATAATGGCAATGTCAATTGTGTTCGTCTCTTGGGTGGACGTCCCCTTACCTAAATCTGCCATACGCGGTGAAGCAACAACTCGGGAGCTGTGATAAGCGACGCCAGAGGAGGCGCCTGGTTGGAGGGCGAACAGTGGTGGTGAGTTGGAGGGGGGGGGTGAGCATTGGCGGTGAGGTAGTTCTCACCCAGGGTCTCCACCCCCACCAGGTGGACGGCGCGGGGCCCCGGTGAGGCGGGGAGACCCCCGAGCCGTTCTTGCGCGGCCCAGGCCGGGGAAGACACAGCCGACACGAGCGGCTACCTCCACATCAGCGACAGCTGCGTTAAGGTACCAGACCTGCGGACCCCAACTCCTGGCCGGGTTCCCCTTCGAGTTGTGAGCCCCGGTGGCAGCTCCCGTGAACTCTCACCATCCACGTGGCCTGGAGTAGCGAGCACCCTTCACGATCTATAACATTTACAATTGGGAGGGTGGGCGCTGTCTCGTGTGTTCACTCTCCAACACACCGGTGTGCTGAAGTAGTAACTAATTGGCACGTTTTGTGTACGTGACTAACATTATTACTTATTGGCTGTCTGGTTTAACGACACATTCACGCCATCTAACCTAAAAAAACTAACTTTATTATGGATATTGGGTCGCGCAAAGCCTACGTGTTAAACTCACCCTCAGTCGTACGCCACAATTCACTAAGGGGCAGTGATGTTACCACATCGCTTGCTGGCAGGGGATCACGGGATGGCCGCCATATGGCTGGAAGATGCACCACTGTACCAACACATCACCACCACCGCTGAGTGTACCAGTGATTTTACAGTTACACGTTCAGTCATTTCGTCAATCATATTGTTGGGTGAGGGTCTCCTTAGTCATACTTCACCGTGCTGGTCGGACCCGGTTGAAGGTGGGGTCGGAGCATATTGCATTACAACAATGTATTTTGCTGCCCTGCCCTCTGCTGCCCTTGACATAGCTCAACAGCCTACAGCAGCACCTGTTTCACGTGCGGTGATTGCATTGCGAGCTAACATTACAAATACGTTGTAATTGCAATTCATTACAGTGAACACAATTCCAATTGTAATTAAACCAAGGTTTGGTTACTCACCCAAGCACATCAGGTTGAGCTTTGCTTAGCATTCTGGGTAATCGTGCTTGGCGACCTGTGATTGGCCATTCTCAAATTGCACCACGCTTGTGTCCTCCCCCCCCCCCCCCCATAGAGGCTGCACGTCATCGCGGAGGGTGGCGAGTTCCTCCGTGTGCAGGTGGAGGGTGGAGGCTGCTCCGGGTTCCAGTACAAGTTCTTGCTGGAAACGAGCATTAACGAGGAGGAGGACCGGTAACCCCCCACCCGGAGGAGTCCAACTTGTTTAGCTTGTTGTGTTTACTGTTGTCCTTCCCCCGCATCGCTGATTAGCATGGTTGGCTACATGCGGCGCAAAAGAAGTTCAACACACACCAACACGTGCATAAGCAGCATGAACAAAATATTACAACAAACACGTACAACACAAATGCAACAATTTGTAAATGTAGCTGGAGAATCTCGCATAAACACAAACGCTGGTCCTCCAAAGCCCACCTGTGGTCAAACTCAATTCAAGATCCTTTTAACCTCCTACCCAAATACTATTCAATTATGAAAGCACAGCAATCGTCGCCTCATACTGCGAAAGCTCGCAGGACCCGCGTAAAGGACTCGTCAGGCCAGAGTTGTTAGTCTTGAGACTCGCAAGGCTGTCCTGGGTAAATAATTGTTAAACTAATAATAAACCCTAGTCCCTTATACCCCATCTGGTGTTTATCCCGAGGCAGTAAACCCCAAACCCTACAACTCAGACTGATTACCCCTTCTGCTGCATAGTCACACGCATCTGCGGGAGCACTGCGTACGCACGTGTACACATGCATACGCACATGTGTGCCTGCAGCATGTTCGAGCGCAATGGCGCGCGTGTGGTTGCCGACCGCGAGTCCCTGGAGCTACTCAAGGGCGCCACCATTGACTTCAGCGAGGAGCTCATCCGCTCCACCTTCCGCATCGTGGGGAATCCGCAGGCCGACCACGGCTGCTCCTGCGGAACCTCCTTCTCCATCAAGACGTGAAGACAACCTCCCCCCCCTCCCCCACCTTCTGGATAAACGCAGCTTTCTGAGCCACTCGAGGGTCAACGCCCTGGAGAACCAGACCGGGTGTGCGATCGCCATCGCCTTGTGAAATCGCGGCACTGCCAGACCCTCGCCTGTGCTCTTGCCATTTTTCTTGGCTCTTGCGTAAGCTGCGTTTGTAAAGAGGAATGCATCTCCTATTCTGTGTGTATTTATAGCGGGAACTATTTAAGTGTGTAATTGCGTTGTGTCTTTCGCATAGGTCATATTTTGCAGGCGCATGTCACCGAAAGTCGTTTGGAGGTTGATGCGTACAACGACGCTCGCACATGCCGATGCCAGCAGTGGCTGTGTGAGAGGCAAGGCTGGGAATAAAACTCTCGTCAGGCCAGAGTTGTTAGTCCTGTGGACAGGTTACCGAAATGTCCCCTCGGTCCACAATGACTTACATTGCAAACTCTGGCAAAAAAGAAAAACTAAGATTTCATGCAACAGACCACAAGCCCAGTTCCGCTGGGTGGCGCTGTCTGTCGATGCAGGTGTCAACATTTGGAGATGCATTTGTGGAAAGTGAGCAGATTGTATATTGACCAGTGTAATCGATGTTCAGCATGCATGCTAATGGCACTTATGTAAAGTGGTGAAGCGAATTTATCATGTTGTATTCACATGGTGGACGGCTGTTTTTGTTGTTCAGCTGTGAAATAAACTTTGTTGAGTGGCAAAGCTTACATCTATTGTGATGTGCCCGACAATGCTCACAGCATGGGAACTAAGACTAAACGGAACATTTGTATTTTCCTAAATGACACGATAATAAGTTATTGACAGCACACACTTCCTCTCGGAAACATTTCTCATCGGGTGTATTCAAAAATATTAATTCCAGTGGCGTAAAACATGAACATGCATTAGTAACAAATCTGTCTGAGCAGACATGTCTGATGCGGAGCTCTGTCGTGCTAGGCCATGCTGGCCAAAGCGATCGACGAGGCTTTACACTATCCACTTGAGGGGTCGGATCACACGCAGAGCTCTCTCAGCGCCGAGGGGGACCACTGCCCCAGCGAGCAGAGCTCGGATCAAGTCGATGTAAGCTCGGCCGCACAGAGGGCTTGCACCGCTTTCCCTGCTGGGGCGAGTTCAATTTCAAAAAGTTCCCCCCCGGGCAAACAATGTCTCGCGTGTACCAAACACTATGCTCCATGGGTCGCAGGTATCGAGGACTCTGAAAGCGCTTTCTGCCTGGGTTTTAAGTGTCATACTGGTACTCGACAGATACTCTGCCGGTGTGTCGGAATCTGGAAGTGGTGTTGCCCTGTGCTACGACGCAAGGCGATTATAATCTGGTTCGGACCAGATTATGAGCCTGATGCAAGATCTCAGAATTCCACCCCCTAGTGCCCCCACCCACACTGCTCTGCGTTGACCGTTGATGCCTTAAACAGACGCATGCGATGTGCACACAGCGTCTACTGCGTAGGGGTTTTTTGTGTGGGGCGCGCTGCATAGCTCTCCGATGTGTTAGAGTTGCACTGCCACGGTGTCCGAAATGGAGCGGAGATTCCCACCACCACGGCGACTGCGTCCAGAGAACAAGGAAATTGCAAGCGCAGCTGGGCCATCGAGGTCATCACAAGTTGGAGAAAAAAGGAAGACGGACTGACCGTTTTTGTTTATGCCGGCAGGGAGCAAAAGCAAAAATATGGAGAACGTTGAACATTTACAGGGCCGAGTAGCTATTAGTAGAAGGCAATGCAAGGAGCCGTCACGAATGAGCGTCCCCTGGCATCGTCGCGGCCTGTTCACAACATCAGAGCGTGTGCGCTCTGATGTTGCGAACCGGATTACGACTGCGCTGGCCGTGCAAGCAGGGGATAGGGGAGAGTCGCCGCTGGTACATTCCGGTTAAAGCATTTACGGACAGCCAAGTCATTCCACGTACCCCAATCGTGCAGACATACACTCGCATTGGGGAAAGAAAAAAACAAACTCGCACCGAGTTCTCACATGATTAAGCTCTTGTTTAAAGTTTATATACAGCTATATCGGCCTGATACAGGGAAGGAATTAGTGATGGGGGCACACACTGTACATGACTTAGCATAATTGTGGGGCAGACTTCACGATCGGGCTGCCACGGTGACATGGAGTTTGGTTGTCGCTAGGGTAGCTGGGCGCCGCGTGGGAATCCGTGTCCATGTGATTTAAAACCAGCCCTCTCCTTTGTTAATAATCCCAACACAACCCCAACATCCCCTCCCAAAGTGGGAAAAACTCAACTTCTATCCGAGATTCAAAGCCAGTCAAATAAACCTTCACCCGCGTCCGCTGTTGCTGGTGTCTAAGGGTTAAATGTGAAACAAGCCCGTGTGTTCGTACGACCTGTCGCTGCGCGCCGTTACGATCCATCGCCCCTGTTTCCGAGCACAAATACCTACATTGCACAAGCCAATATGCTCGCTTACACACTCGCCGTCCGCATGGCGTAACGTTGTATAAAGTGGCAAGAGGCATCGACCGATGAGTTCGTCTGTGCTTATGTGCCTACCAGTGGCGTGGGTGTTCAGGTGTGCGTTGGGTGCGTGCGTGCGCGATACATTTTACACGCAACGACTCATCGATTTGGAATAAAAATCAACTCTTACGCTCGTGATCCATGCGTACAAGAATCGATGGCATCTCTGGTCGGTTTCTATTGTTAATGGGTTCACGCGACTCCTGCAGACAGCCCAGTTGCTACAGTCAAAAAATAAACCAACCCCGAATAGAGTTCATATCCCAGATCGTAACAATTTTCCAAATGTCTGAGGGGGCCGAATCTTACCACGCTGGCCGCGCAAGCACGTGCGTGTACATGTGAACGTGCGCGCATATGTGCATGGCCCCAACAGTCCGCAATGCTACAGGGGGTTCTGTCTGGAGGTTTGCTGCGTACGTGTACGTGCGCGCGTATGCAAGTACACGCTTTCATCTGTGCGTGCGCACGCGCATGCTCGTGTGTGCGTGCGTGTATATAAGTGCGTGCGTGTGTGTGCCTGCGTGCGCGTGTTCCTGCGTGTGCGCTTGCGCCCCCCCACCCCCCTCCACGCGCGCTACTTCTTGGCCTCCCCCTCATCGAGCAGTGCCGAGTGGATGCCGATCTTCTTGAGCTCCTCCACCAGGTCCCCGTTCTGATGCATCTGCAGCAGGATGTCGCAGCCGCCCACAAACTCCCCGTTGAAGAACACCTGCGGGATGGTGGGCCAGTTGGTGTACTCTTTGATGCCTGCGGGGTGCAACGGAGGAACAGGGGCAGAGTCAGATAGTCATCAGGCATGGTCAATCCACTGCTGGATGAAGGCCTCTCATAACAGCCGCCCCCCCTCTCTCGCTCCAGTAATAATCAGCACAGCACCTGCACACGAGATTATTGCTGCTGCGTCAATGCAATTTGTGCCGTGGCTTATCGCGATTCAGCCTCACAGCAGCACTACACGCATCCAAAAAAAATCACATCTGGTAACCCATCAGCATTTGTTTAGCAAGCCTGACTGCTGATGAGACCCAGAAGGTTGAAACCGGTCCAGGACTTTGAGTGCTTAAACGGATGCTGCTGGATAATATTTGTATGCAAAGTCAAAGGTTTGTTTTCATTTTACGCAGAAGGGAGTTGCTCTCAAATGTGCTTTTAACAACAGATAGTGAGGTGTGACCGTTGCTGATCACCAGCTGAGAGACTACCACTGTCTCGGGGGAGACCTGGAACGAATGTGCAATCGATAATATTGAATAGAAAACGGGTGGAAAGAGGTGATCAAGCATGCCAGTTGAGTTCAGAGTATTTTAAATATCACAGAGCAGCATTGCAACATCTGCATTGTAAAATGTTAAAGTGGAATAAAAAAAATAGTTTGTGCGAGTGTATAAGTGTGTGTATGTGTGCGTAATTACCCGTGTGTTTAATAACGCGTTACACAATTTTGATTTAAAGAGCATATAAATGCAACCGCATTCCAAAATGGATTGTATCAAAGTCTAACATGATGATGACATGTTTATCTTTTTAAAAGTCAAAATTGCTTCCCACTCAGCCGAAGGATGCTCATCATCTCCTGTTCACAGCTCTGAAACAGTGCTGGAAATTCCACATTTCGACGATCGTAGCCAGTCCATCTTCAGGGCAACCAATATTTATATCTTCCCATAAGGCAAAGACTCAATCCGTCGACCCTAGGACGTACGCAATCCTCAACCAACCCCTGCCCGGAATGTGAACCCGCACTCTTCCGACTGCGAGCCAGGCACCCCGAACCCACTGCGCCACCCATGCCAGATCGTGTTTCTGTGTGCGAGACATTTTTAAAAATCACTTAAGCGCCATCGCGGCCGCCACCCCAGCCCTCGCTGGGGTCTGACCGGGGCCATGAGCCGCACGCACCGGGATGAGCTCATGCCCACGTGTCGCGGTTTCAATTCCAAACGCCCGACGGCACTTAGCCTGGGGGTTTGGCCCTCCACACCCCCCCCCCCCCCCCCGGCCAACGATTATTAATGCTCGGTCCGGCAGGAATGGCTGCATGCCGGAAACCTGGTCGTGTGACAAACGAGCGGAGCCCGTCGCCTTCTCCGCACGCGAAGTGTGACAAGTTTCACGTGGACACAGGCTACCGTGAGAGATGGAAATGGCTTGGGGCCGGTGGAGGGGGGGGCCTTCATCCAGCAGCGGATTGACTATGGCTGATGATGATGATGGCTGCAGTAATGATAAACGAGCAATCGCTCTCCCCCTTCCCCCCCACTGCTCATTCCAGGTGTTGTATCGTGTTGCTAAAGAAGCATCATCATCAGCCATGATCCATCCACTGTTTGATGAAGGCTTCCAAGCCATCGTCATCGCTCATGGGCCTGCGAATAAACAGTCTGACAAGCACTTGCGTGCGAGCCAATTTCACCGCTCCATCTCTGCACTGGATGTACTCTTGGGGGTGTGTGGCCCCTTTTTCTCTGCGTTTTCGGGTTGTACATTGCGTTGTTCGGCACGACGTCCAACATTTCACTGCATGTGCTGGGGGACATTTAGTTCCCGAATAAACTCCCAGCATATAAAGCAAAGCGGCGGACATCATGCCAAACAAAACGCGGTCGAACCCGAAAATACATTGCAGAGGAACACAGCACAACCACAAAAACCTGCGTACTCGTGTCCCCTCCCTTGGCTGCCACTGTCATTCGTCTCGACCTTTGGCGGTGTCATCCCATCTGGTGAAGGTGCTCATGAGCACGGAGCTGTGCTCATCGGTACCGGTGGATTATGCGATGGCTGAGGCATAACTCACGCATTTTTAAAGGTTATCACAATGTTATATTCTTGGCCATGTTCGATAATGTGCGAATGTAAAAAAAAGTACTATAATAATCTACAGCCCTTTGCCAATCCACAGCTGGATGAAGGCCTCCCCATGTCGTCCAAGTCATGGGGATTGTTTGACCATACTTTACCACGCTTTGGAGGTGAAATATTTGACCCGGTCCCACACAACTCTAAACGCGATTCCAAAACAGTTTCCTTGCTCAAGCAAAGTGTTGGGTGGTGTTCACCTCCTGTTCAGACCCCTGAGCAATGAGGAATTTCCACATTCCTATGGCAGGAGGCAGTCCATATAGAACACAACCCCTATTAATGTCCTGCTCGGGGTAATGCATTCGCTTCATGGCACGACCTACCGAAGGCTAGGAAAGTAAAGACTTCAGGGGACACGTACAGTACAACCTGCACAGGGGGTGGGCAGATTCTCACTGAGATGCAAACATAATGAAATTACGCTTCGTTTTGAGGATCAGGTATTTTCTTCGAGGTGTGAAAAACCAACCGCTTCTCCCTGAAGCAAAAACGCAACTTGAGAAACCAGTCCCCGCTCTCACGTCGAGCGCCGTCAGACTCGCATGCGATTGCGGCTGGAGACGTTGCACAACATTCCCGCGCACGCAACATCCACCAATAAAAACGATGAAATGCACAAAAAGAGGATCGGAGCGGCGGGACAGTGGTCTGCACACTCTCGGCCAAAGCTAACAGCAGTGGCGAGCGACGTCTCAAACGGATCTGGGCCACCCCCCGCTTCCAAACATGACCGGCATGGTGAAGTATGATAAAACAACTCCCATGACTGACGCAGCGTGGGAAGGCCTTTCATCCAGCAGTGGATTGATAATAGAGCTGTACATTCACACTCTCGTGAAGGTAACCGACTGGCATTCCATGGCAGTGATGGAGTGATTATGAGATCAGTTCACGCGAAAAAGTGAGGTGGATGGTAACAGTACTGGACCGTGTGAATAGGTGACGCCGTGGAAAGGCCTTTATTCAGCAGTGCGGCTGCCAATGATGACTATATTCTCTGGATTACGAGAGACATTTGCCTCTGTATTTTAAAGCAAAAGTTGGGGGCACGTCTTATAATCCAGTCGCTATGTGTGTGCGTGACCAGATTGGTATTGTTTTATTGAAAACTGGACACAAGCTTGGGGTGCGTTTCACTTTTCAGAGCACCTTAGAATCCGGAAAACACGGTAAATGTGATACAATGGCATGGGAAGGCATTCCTCCAATAGTGGATAAATCGTGACCAACGATGACAATTATCTACCCCCCTAAAGCGGAAGGCACATCACGGTGCTCAAGCGACGAATACACTCGCCTGCCATATGCTCGACCACTAATGGGAGGGAGCAGCTGCGGTGGGCAGTATCGAGTAGCCATCATTATCAGTTATCGGTAAATGCGCAAGCGCGGTGCTGGGAGCCAGCCATGTGTCGCAAACGGCGCGGGTCGGTCGTCCCCAGGGAGGACTTCGAGATTCGTGCTGTGTGCTCGTTCGTTGTGAAAGGCGCGTGCCGAGTTGTGACATCTGGCCGAGCCGGCTCTCGGAAACCGATGTCCTCCCTCCTCCGGACAGCGCAGCGCCACGGTCGCAAATGCTGCCACTTCAGCACTCGCACACTCGGGTGGGGGGGGGGGACGTCCAGGTTCGGTTTGGACACCACTCGCACACTCGGGTAGGGGGGGGGGGGCGTCCAGGTTAGGTTTGGACACCACTCGCACACTCGGGTAGGGGGGGGGCGTCCAGATTAGGTTTGGACACCACTCGCCACGAGGGTCGCCACCTTCGAATTATGTGTGTGTATATATATAATACAGGATATTATTTCATTACTTTTGTTCATCAAACCAACTAAGTCGTATCAATGACGACCACTCGTGGGCACAGGCCCGCGCATGGGCAGTAATAGTGGAATTCCTCTTAATACCATCAACAACATCAAATGTGACATCAACAAATCATGAGAAGAAATACGGATGTCTCACAAAAGCAGAAGACACAAATACAAGCCAATGCATGGTCTTGGGTGATGCAATATTTGTACTTTTACATAACGGACACAAACTGGGACTGTCAATGTCCTGGGAAGACTTACAGGCTTCCAAGGACAGTAACTACCTCCTCAACACATGTCCTGGGAAAACCTGGATAGGTGGCAACCCTATTTGCCACTCATTGCCATGGCTGAGAATTGAACTCAGTCTTGATTTGAAGCTTTCGTGACTGTATGAATCCACTCTTTGGTTCTTTCGGTAAAGTCACATAGGTAGAAAAATAGAACTGCTGGATTATTATTCTTTTTTCCACCTGAGGAAGACCGCTTGTGTTGCGATTGAAACGTCGTGATATATTGTTTATTTTATTAAATGTTTCTACCTACGTGACTTTACCGAAAGAACCAAAGAGTATTTAAACTCAGGTTGCAGGAATGCAATGGAGAAGTGACCTACACACTACAGCGCTGCTAAACCCCCCAAAGATGGGGGGTGTAGAGAGTCTACCTCCCACCCCCATTACGATTTTCACATCATGTTAAGTCATTACATAACAGCCCGTCATTGCTCATATCGTACACCACTTGTTGTAAGCAGAGTTGAAATGAATCAGTGTGATAGATCAAAGATTATAATTGGTGTGTGGGTAAGGTGAGTATATTATTTGGTGTATCATTATTGCGAACATAATTGGCAATTATCCGATGCAGTTCTGGGACTCCCATAAAATTACTCGGCTATAAATTATTATATGGAGTGAAGTGTGACCATCAGCACCGGGCAGACAAATGCAGTGGGGAGTGCCGTTCCGGCTTCCAAAAGCGCTCGCTACCAGCAACTGCCCCAACAGTTTGTATGGCTAATGGGGGCTCATTGTGTTTGCGTAACTATATATAGCCTCGCGCCAAAGGAATACTCACGTGGCCATGCCACAATTATACTCATCCTGCAGCAGATATTATTAGAGTACTGTTCGTCATCACTGACAGTAAACGGTGAAGAGCCTATGTTGTCTCGGCAAATAAACGGGGAGGTCATGGAAGACCACAAACAGCAGGTCACGAGGCAGCGTCAGGCTACCGCGCGTTAAAGCTACTACAGCAGCATACACAGCAGGTCTCAGCAAGCTGTTGCATGGCACGGCTGGACGGGCTAGGAGTGGCTGGGAGCTGGCCGCAGCAGGCCAGAACAAAGGATGGCAAAGTGAGTTTCATAATCCACACACACACAAGCGGACGTGACAGACTATAACATTATTTTGTGCGGATAATTTCATAGCGCGTTTGTGGCTAAAGTACAAGTAATTTTTCTTTAAATAGCCAACATCAGTCTGTCACTGTGGACAAATACTTTTAGGCAATCGGCCTATGAGCCTTCTTGAGCAACATTTTTGCCAGCAGCGAAACCCTTGAACGGTTTTAAGTTTTGTCAGTCTCATCAGCAGCGTGCGGAGCTGTTGTAACAACTGCTGCTGAGCTCGTCTGATATTGGTAAGAGCCATTAGAACCCTCTAGAAATTACATTGGTTCCTTTAAAAAAAAAACCCAAAAATAAATAAAACACCTGGTTCACAAATTAATACGACGCACGAGTTTTCACGCTTATAAAGAATAACCCATCTCAATCAAGGAGGCCATTTATTTTGTTTACGTACGTTTGCTCAGAAACACTGGACGGTCCGAGTACCGAGGGGGGGATGGTCTCAAGGCTGATCTTGAGAAGATCCCATGCCGCGTGTTGGTTACTTTGTATCGTGTACCAGGTTAGAAGGAACGGGGGTCATCACAACCTCCACCGAGCTGCGGTCATTCCACCATGACCGCGCAGAAAATGACCACGCGCCGCTAAACACAAACAATTACGCTTCGCTGTGGAGAATGATGGCAGCAAAAAAAAAATAAGGCCTCCCCTCCCATATTTGTCTCTCCGTATAGACAATAGAAAACCGAGGTGTGGCGTTCCCAAATAAGGGAAGGAGAGGCATAGCGCAGCTTCTTGCACTACTTAAGGTCGCAAACCAAGAGACAGGCCCCCAACTCAACCGACAACACATTGCTTGCTTGACTGCCAATCCACTGCTGCACGCCGTGTCGGTCCACGGCGATTGTTTGGGCCATACTTCACCACGTTGGCCAGTGCGGGTTGCAGGGGGCGCCTCGAACCAGTTTCTGATATTGATCACCACCGAGTACAGTTTGTGTTTTTCAGCCCGATGGCCCTCTGTTCATGATCACGTTAACGTAACCTGTCAGTACATTATTGTTATTATTGTAATCATGGGTCCATGACCAAAATCATCCGGGCCGGATGATATCAAAATACCAAGCGTAATTTTAAATCTGCTTTAAACATTGTATGGGCGACCACCCTGCACAACAACACAGGTCGTCCGGTACAGGCGACGAAGCTATATGATGGGCAGCAGTGGGCCAGGCAGCAAACTCCACTGTTGATCGGCACTTCCACAACCCGGAGTTTACGCTCCGAGATCTATTAACTCGCTCTCACCCGGCTCGGAGAAGCAATGCGGCCAAGTCACTAACCCTCACGACCCGAACAGGCGTGTGGGGAAGAGGGGCTAACACAGGAGTGGAAGGACCCTGTGGTTGCTGCCGATGATGACGAACGTGTTCGCTTTGTCCCCTTAAGCGTTTTCGGTGCGTCTTCTAAACACTGTGTAACAAAAAAAATGTTCCTGGGTAGTAAGTGTTATTTCCTAATTGCTTGTGCCTCAAATGTACAGATAATGGCTGTTTATTATTCCCCACAAACTTTGCTTTTGTGACCAGGACAGTGATATTTTGAAATGTACCTATTTTCAATGAGAAAACGTGGTGTGCATTTGTGTCTTTCGTTCACATAAAGTCCTGGTCACAAAAGCAAAGTTTGTGAGGAATAATAGCCATTTTCTAAACTTTTTAGGCATAAGCAATAAAAAAACCCACTCAGTACCCAGGCACAAAAATTGTGTTACGTAGTGTAATCCGGTAAATGTGACCAGAATTGTACAACTTTATTTGATACCGGGCAGGAGCTTGGGGTGTGCGTCTAACTTTCCAGAGCGTCTTACGATCCGGAGGACACGACAAATGTGACACAATTACGCTTTAAACAGCACAAAAAAGCCTTTCCGTCCTCATCAACACCGCCACGACCTTGATGACAGGAGGCTCCGCGCCTCGGCCCCTGAGACATCAATAACTCTCACCCAGCTCATGCGGCAACAACCACAACCAACCAGACATCAACCAGACAGACGCACACGGTATCACGGATTACAAGAACCACACTAAACGGGAGACCTGCCTCTCAAAACACACCGACATGTCTGCCGGCCGTTAACACGAGTCGGCCCGAGAGGCCGTGGTACTAGCGCCACTAACCGGGATCGCGCGCCCATACCCCGGCAAGACGAGTAGGCACGAGTAGGCCGCAAGCGGGTCGGGTCCCCGGGTCCACCAGACTCTGAGACTTCGGGGATTCCCAAATCCCAAAATTCATGCGGACCTTGCAACTCCTCCGTATTTCCCTTATCCTCCCCGTATGCCAATAACCCCCCCCCCCACAAATACTCAGGTACCTCTGATACATCCGAAAACTCCCAAATCGATGTTCTCACAAATCCCCCCAGGTCCCCTTTCTCCCCCAAACCCCTCTACCTACCTGACCACTTTATTTCGAAACCAAAAGGAACCCCGGTACCCCAAAACGGACTTCGCTTGGACCCTGCAACAGGTCCCAGTTGTCCCAACAGGTTACAAACCTCTCCGTACCCTGTACCCCCATGACTCCACGGAACTCTAACCCCGAGTCCCCCGGGGACCCCTTGATAACCCATCCTCCCCAGTACTCCCTCGCCGCGCCGCACCTTGCCGCAGGCCCTCGTCGTCCAGCACGTTGAAGGAGGTGTACCCCTCCACGCCGTGCATGCGCAGGATCTGTACCACGGCGTTGGAGAATCCGCACATGGGCTGCGAGGGGACCCCCTTCATGAACACCACCACGCGGTCCTGCGACAGCAGCCCCGCGATGCGGTCCCGGGTCCCCGCGTCGGCGGCCGAGCTCAGGGCCCGAGGACCCGCGGAAGAGAATGAGGAGGAGAGGAGGGACGAGGAGGCCCTGGCGGCGCCGCCGCCGCGAAGCAGCAGGAGGCCACGGGCCGCGCTCAGCATCATCGCGTTCATCTTTCCGCAAGCACAAACTCAAGGAGTGAGCCCCAGAGCAGGAGGAGCAACCCGGAGGGAAGGATTTGGAGCCTGGAGTAGAGAAACTAAAAGCAGGAGCTCGGAGTCCGGAGCCTGGAGTGAACAGAAAGGCACTCGGAGAGCTGAATTTTTAGCATTGAGTGAAGTAAAACCCGGAGCCCGGATTTTAGAGTATGGAGTACATGGAGCCTTGAGTGTGGAGAACGGAGCTCGGATTACGGTATTTGTAACATGGGGTCTGAAGATTTGAATCCGAGTTAGGAAGCCTGGAACTTGGAATTTAGAATATTATGGTGGAGAAACCAAACCCTGGAGCGTGCTGTGTTTGTTTCCAGCCTGGAGTGGAGAACACGAAACCTGGAGTCTGTAATTTTGTCTCTGGATCCAGAGGTCCGGTGCCTAATAATGGAGTATAAAAACTGATGCCTGGAGTCAAGACCCGCAACCTGCATTGAGAGAGAGAAAGTAGTGCATGGAGTTTGGTGTTAGGAACCCGGAATCTGGAGCGTGGGTAGTGAACTTTTAATCCGTGGCAAGGTAAATTGTTATCCCGAACGTGGAGCCTGGAATCAAGTGTACAAAACCCGGACCGGGTTTGTAGCCAAGAGTCAGGAGCCTGGAATCCCAGAGTATGGAGCCAGCAGAAGGGGACTTTGAGTGCTCATTCGATAATAAATCCGGAGCCCGGGCATACAGCCTGAAGTTATCATGGTTCATGTAGGGCTCCCTTCAGTCAGTGACTCCAGCTCTGGCTCCATGGACACAGTGGCTGGGGTGGGGAAGGGGGTCACATTGACCTGCCAACACGATTCCTGAATACCATCACGTTTGCTATATCCTGTACTAGCTGTACTACTCGGCTTCGCCCGGGACTTGGATTCACCACGCCCAGCCGCCTTTGTCTCCCCAGTGGCGATGTTTACACACCACACCAATTACTCGTTTGAGGCTGAGTCTACCTAGGGGAGGCCCAGGAGCGGTTAAAATAATCGTCACCGACGATTCGAACTCGGGTCGCCGGGTTCGTAGCGCGGCGCGCTAACCACTACACTACAATGCGTTACGCTTTCACATGCGCGGGTCACGTGACAGATTTGACGTCACAGCTCACTTGCCGTGCAAAAAAAATATTCATTATTGAGCTCCCCCTCGCCAAAAAAAACACAAAAGTGTATTTTTTATAATTTTTGCATGGTGTACAATCTGCAAAGTACCCACATGGCAAATTTCAAGTGTGTTGCATGTCGGGAAGTACGCTAAACATTTTGAACAGACACACAATCACAACTTTGCCTTTTATATATACGAAGATGACAACCACTGCCAACTTTCCACAACGTGGTAGTAATTTTTTTGGCCACTGAGAGATAATTATTGATGGGTATGGAAGACTAAGTCGACTATCGATTTGAACTCTGGAGCTTTCATAAAGTTGTACTACAGGTGGTAAGGCTTTCATAATATAATATATTGTAATTAAATTAAATTATAACAATGCACATGTATGCATGTACTGTATGTTGTACTTATTTCGCACCGTACGTAGCCAACCGTGCTAATCGGAGGTATCAATCCACTTCAGGATGAAGGCCTCCGCATGCCGTGTTGGGTGTTACTTGACCACGCCTCGTCAGTGTGGATTGGTGAATGGTTGAAGGGGAGAGAGCCCAGGACCGGTACAGATATCACTCGCCACTGATGTTAGCCGTGGGTAGGAATCTAACCCAGGTTGCCGGGTTTGTGGCATAGTGCGCTAACCACACCGCCACCGCTCGCAAACACGAGAACAGACTGCGCCACCTGGTCACGATCCATTCAAGACAGCCCAGTTGTGAATGCAGCGACCTCCAGTGGCCCCGGAGGGGGTCACGGTGAGGCCCATTGCATACGACCCACACGAATAAAAATGCATCGGTTCATATTAAACTAAACTACTTCAATATTTATCAGGTAAAGCCCACTGAGCTATATGAACTCGTTTTCGCAGGCGACCTGGCCAAACAACGAAAGCTTATCGAAGTGGCTTATATCATCGCACGTGGGAACGTACAGTTTCAGCCAAATAATCGTAACGCGTGTTTCTGAACATGGAAGGCAAAACCGGCGGGGACCGGAGAACAATCCACGCGACCACCACGAGGAAAGAGACCACGCGGACTCTAAATATACAACACGCTTCGTCAAGGTCGGGGATCGAACCCGCTAACCCTGCGTACCATCTCCTCGCACCGTCTCCTCGCCACCTCGGCGCCCCACCACCGATTATCAGGGCGGATCGCTTCGGTCGAGCGTGGATATTCATCGATTTATAGACACGCAGCTGTGCTCATCACAGACCCTCGATCCCCGATCGGGCAGTCGCGACCGCGTGCACGCGCATCGCGCTCCGAGACATCACAAAAAAACGGTGCAGACAGATGCCTGGGTCTCAGCGTGGCTGTGATATATTACATTAGCCATGGTGAATCCACTGCTGGATGAAGGGCTCTCCAAGCCTGCGCCATCTCTCACGATCCTGCGATGTAACAGTCCGCCCAGCAGCACCTGCACACCGCGAGCTGATTTCTATCGCTCCATCTCCGCGTTGGAAGTCGTCCAGAAACGCATTCCACTCCGTCATTTTTAATATCCGCACGCATATCGCTCCTCAATCTAGCGCATCCCGCGTTCACTCATTTCCCCTGCACCTTTGCAACCCCCCGCCCCCACACGTGAGCGGGGGAGGGGTTGTGCTGCCGCGTGGCTCCACTCCGGCTCCATCGTGGATCCAACCGTGCTCCACCTGGCTCGAGCTATGCTCTACCCACGATTCCATCGGCTTCAATCGTCCCTCACCCGTGCTCCCCATGGCTCCACTCGTGCTGCACGTGGCTCTAACTATGCTCCATTCCGGCTTCACACAGCTCCATCCGCGGTCCACTCGGCGCCACCCATGCTCTACTCATAATGGCAACGCCATAACAAGGCTCCGACTTAGCTCCATCTAGCTCTATCAGGCTCCACAAGATCTCCACTGCTTCCAATCGTCCTCGCTCCGTGATCTTCCCAGCTCCACCTGGACTGCCCCCGTGCTGCACCAGCCTCCCATCGCGGAGTGTGATACCGTGGGTCCATGGTTTACTGGCTTCACACGCAGGGGATGCCTCCACGACCCCACGTACAGGTGACAGTGTCCTCCCTTGGGGGTGGGTAGGGAGGAGGGTGGTGGTGGAGTGGCTGTAGGGCAGCCCGCAGCTCCTATCCGGTGGAGGGGCTGTGGGGTGGAGGGAGTCAGGGGAGACAGAGATACGGGAATCCCGTTATGTGGGTGGGAGTGGGAAGCGAAGGAGGAACACGAAGCGAGCCAGACACTGCGCAGTGGCATTACGTAATGTCCCAGGCGAGCGGGTAGAAGGGAGGGAGGGGGGAGCAGCGGAGGCAGCGAGAGCGGGGGAGCGTGGATCAGCTGATATCATGAGGGCGCCACCAACCATTACGTCATTGTTCTGGCGATGGAGCCTCCAGCGTGGGCGGCCAGTGAGGAGCACGAACGGGGGGGGGCGGGGGTGGATGGAGAGAGGGGTCAGGGCTGGCGATAAAAGCCGGGGAAGGAACCCGGGGCCGGACTTGACTGAGGAGGGAGCACGGCTGCAGGGCGCGGTCTAGGGTCGCGGGGAGACTTTTTGTGGGATTCGGGGATGCGGGGGACCCAGACGCGGGTTCAGAGGCGCGGGTGATTCCTGATATCTGACGGGAAGAGACGACAGCAGGAGCATCAAAAATCATCATGAGCAACATTCCCATCAATCATCATCAGCAGCAGCATCTTCAGTGAGATTGACACCATTATCAGCAGCAGTATTATCAGTATTGAGATAATAATTATCATCAACAGCATCATCGTGAGCAGCAGCATCAACATTGTCAGTAGTGTTGTCATCAGTATCATCAACGTCAGCATTGATATCACGATCGATTTCAGGATCAGCACCATGGACAGGGGCGCGCAGTTGTGTGTGCGTGGCACGGGCGGGGCGCTACAGTTACGGCCATACAGATAGTGACACACACACACACGTATACACACACAAAGACACACGTGTACACACTCACACGTGTACACACACACGGGCATACACATAAACATACATACACCTTAATACGCACATACACGCACTTGTTTACACATACATAGGCATGTAGGTATACACACATGCATCAATACATACACACTTAACTATATAGTATGCAAACACAGATACGCAGACTGTGTATACACACAATACTCTCCATGTAAACACTCACACACATATACACATGCACGGTTATGATACACAACACACAACAATAACCACCGTTCGCCACTCAGCAGCGGTGACATCACCACGGCGCTAGTGCCAGGCTATGTGCACACAGATACGCACGCACGCGCGCTGCACTTGTAAACACACACACGCACGCGCGCGAGTAGTTTACACTTGGCACACAAAGAACACCACCATCGGCTCCACTGGTGGCGCGCTGGCTCGAGCTGGGCGCAGGGTGGGCGCAGGGTGGACGCAAGCCGCGGGCGATGGACATGCTCAAGTGCGTGGTGGTGGGAGACGGAGCCGTGGGCAAGACCTGTCTGCTCATGAGCTACGCCAATGACCAGTTCCCCGAGGAGTACGTGCCCACCGTATTTGACCACTACGCAGGTGAGGTCGGGCGCACGGGGTGGTGCAGCGAGAGGGGGGGGGGGGTCGTGAAGGGGGGAGGCGGGGGGCAGGTTTTGTCCAACGCCTAAATCCCGGGGTGGGGTTGGTGGACGCTGGTGGCACCTGTGACAGGTACCTGGGACAGGTGTGCGGGTGTGGGGCGTGAGCGGTGTGTGTGCGCCTTTGTCTTTGTGTTGCTGTGCGTGTGTGTGTGAAGTGCTGCGTGTGTGAATAGGTGAATTGAATGTCTCTTTCTACGTAGTATACGTGTTTCTGTGTTGGTGTGTGTCTGACGGTGGTACGTGTAAGCATTGTATGTAATAGGTACTCGCTGATAGCTCTTGTCCCAACTGTCCGTTCAGCAATCGGTGTAGTGTGTCAATGGGTGTATGTGGACGTGTGTGTGTCAATGAGTGTGTTTCGATGGAATTTTTTGAAATCGGAGTGTACATGGGTGTGTATCTAAGCATTGGTGACTACACGTGCATGGGGAGCGGTAGAGTAGAGGCTAGCTCACCCCATTATGTACACGGCGACCAGCGTTCGATCAATTCTGGCTCACGACCAACATCAGTGACGAATGTCTATACCGGTCTTTGGCCTTTCCCTCGGTTGACTCAGCCTTAAATGAGTACCTGGTGCTTTGTATACATCGCCACTGGCGAGGCTTAGGCGGGCGGGAGGGCGGGCGTGGTGCTGGCCACACCAGCCCCTCTAGGTGCTCGCTAAGGGTGCAACGAGTCAGCATGGCTCGACCCGACGGGCCACCTTGCGCGACTGACTCAGGTGCGCGTGTCTGGCAGTGAACGTGACGGTGGAGGGGGAGCAGTACCTGCTGGGACTCTTTGACACGGCTGGACAGGTGAGCGCGCGTGGGGGACAGGTGAGGGGTAGACGACAGGTTAGGGGTGGGGAACAAGCAAGGAGTGGGACTGGCTGGGAGAGCACAGCTAAGTCCTGCATTGCTCCGAGAGCATGGGTGCAGTATACATCTCGGAGGCATGGCTGGGAGAGGGCATAGCTGGGAGTGCACAGGTAAGGAGGATAGCTGGCAGGGCGCGACTGGCAGGGCATGGCTGAAATTGCACGGCTGCGAGGCTATGGCTGGCAGGGTATGTCCGTGAGTATGGCTGGAAGGGAATGTCCGTTAAGCCATCGCGCTGTGCCCAGGA